AAATCCCCAACCTGCCCTCTCGACAGCTAAACCCCCTTCTGACCAAACCTGGATACGCACCTGCGTTGTACATCTAAAAACAATTAGGAACGATTTCCACCATATAGCGCTACTATTAGATTTATCCACCCGATTTCTTCGATGTAATTTCTCTCCAAATCTAACAGTTTGCTGCTGGATCTCGCGCTGAGATTAACGAGCCTTCCATCTCTCTGGGTGGCGAGGTGACCCTGACCCAAGCAATCTCCACCCTCCACGTTTACCGTGCCATCTCCCAGCCCGCCTACATCTTGGCCCCCCAGACAGACATCTTCGGCTACGCCTTCGCTATGACCGCTAGCTCCAGTCCCTCAGCCGGGCTTGACTGACTTCGGCGCTGAGTTGGAGGAGCTTGCCCGGCGAGTTGAGGTCTTTGCCGGGGACATTTTGGGCAAATCAGCATCAAGTGGAGAGGTAACTCTGGTCCATATCTAAATTTAATTTATCACTCAGTACTTTCAGAGAGTGGTATGACAACCTTCATGATCCACAGTCACAGAATTCCAGAAATTATTGTTTCACCGTAAGCAATGTTTGTTGAAGATTCTCTTGGGATGGCCATTTTTTTTTTTGTAACAAAGCTTAATCATGCGACCACAGATGTAGGTGAGTAAGTTGTAAACCTTGGGGGCATTATGTCCACATGTTTTTTATTAATTCATGTTTTTGTGTATGGTAGATCTTAGCCCTGTTTGGATACCACAACAATGACAAGTACCGAGATAAGATCGGCAGGCAACATCCACTGTCCAAGGGTTTGAGTGGATCATGTACGACCAGAAGGAGTAAGACATTACAGTTTTCTCCTTTGAGTCATATTTTCACCACCCAATTATCTTATGCATATGAATATCAAGCGAGGTTAGAGTAGGTGTCGTTTTTACTTGACGTGACGTGACATCTTATGACAATGCGGAGACTTGACATGACATGATTTGACATGACATCCCATGACACTGACGTTGAATTACATGATATGCAACGGAGATCAAACAATTTTACATGACACAATACGTCATGTCATGGAGTCGTGCTTTTTCATGAACAAGGGCATGATAGTTTTGTGGTAATTAATTTCAAATGGATAGTCAGTTGTCATGACATGACATTAAATGACAATGCCAGACTTGACATGACATGACATGACGTCCAATGGCAATTGGATCAAATTACGTAATATGCAATGAGATAAACAATTGTGCACGACATGACATGGCATGCGGTGGCAATGGCACAACTACTTACACGACACGAGGTGATGGGGGACACTCTTTTTTCGCGCCTTGCAGTTCATAGCTCACCCTCATTTCCCAGAAGCCATCATCGGGCAGTTCTACAGGAACCTCCTGATTTGGAACGAGCAAGGCTTTATGTATCAGATTCTCCTGATGCTCCTTGTCATGCTGGGCTATCCCGTCATCTGTCTGTTGTACATTTTCTTTCCAGTCCCAAAAGTGGTTAGATTCGCCAGGAATCCGTAAGTATATACATGTACATGTAAATCGTGTAATTTTTAGTTTTAATTTGCTTGGAAATGATACCACTTGGACAGATTACCAGGATATTAAACACAGTTCAAAGGCCTCCCACCCTGAAATCGAAACCAAAATCAAAGGCTTACTTTAAGATTAAAGAAAATCATATTTGAAACTGTGACAGATAACATTGATTATACATGTATAACTATTTTAAACTTTCTCAGCCTTCAAAGCGTCAACAACAATAAGTTTTAAAAGAGAAAAATGTGTTTATTATTACAAGCACAAATTACGAAAAGTTACATCTTAAAACAATTATTACTTTTATACCAAAAGTATCAAACTTGGTTTTTTCAATGTGGTTTCATTTGTAGGTACGTGATGTTCCTGATGTACTCAGGTTCAGGAATCACCTTCCTCACCCTCATCATTGCTTTGACTGTGATCGATAAGGTCAACAACTATCAGGCAGCGGAGGGGATGTATGCACTGCTTCTGGTTTGGATACTCGGTGAGCGCTGCCATGTCTATAAGGACACTAAAACAATACTAAACCAAATACATTTTACACTTAATCAATGTTTAACATGTAACCCAACGTTGGTCAGTATACCAACTGTCTGCATTCTTGGGCAAATTCTCTATCCAAATTGACATTGAGTTGAGGTAATTTCAAACCAATGTTTGGCAAATGGCATTGCTGAACAATTTGACCCTAGTTTTTAAAAATGTACTTGTAATTTGTCAAACTGGAACCCATCTGATTACAGCTGGGTACAAGTTGGACTGTTCTTGAGTCTAATTTTACCACATTTTTCCCAGAGTACACTCCGTCAATTTATTGTCTGACTGGTTTCCTCATCAGGTATGATGTGGCAACACATGAAGAAACTAATGAAGCATGGCCTGAAGGAATATCTGTCTGATAGTATGCGCATCGTAGAAGCTATCATCATAGCCTTGTACGTCACGGTCTTCGTCCTTCAGTGGAATGGACAGATCAATGTAAGTTCATCAAATATAAATGATGATACGTTTTTATTTGTTCTCCAAGAGTTGTGTGTTGTAGAGAATCTTAGTCCGTGTTATCCCCTCATTGAAAGATATTACTTTTTAGCTTTCCACAGAACATTTCAAAATCCAAGCCCGTTTTACTGAACTGTAATTCCTTGAAACACGGCATTTTTTTTAAAGAGACATCAAATATTGGCCTAACACGTAAAAACACTTTGTGATCAGGTGTCAAAATCGGCATCAAACGTGTGGTCCAATTTTGCTTACAGATTATCTCGAATGTCGTGCTTCGTCGCTCCGCACGTCACATCGACAGCAGCAACTTCACGGATCTGCAAGACCATGTGTCGACAGTCCTGTCGGGTTTCCAAGGCCGACTGAACGACACTCTAGCCGAGGGTGTCGACGGGATACTCACGGGGGTTTTCTCCAACTGCCACCCCATGACAGGTGTGAACAACGTGGCTGAAATGCCATCCCTGACACCCCTTCAACAAGTAGTAGTCGACTATGACCAGTTCGAGCCTGTCATCGTGGCCCAGACTCTCTTTGCGGTCACCATTGTGATGTCCTTCATTCGCTTGACGAATATTTTGTTGGTCAGCGAGACGGTCGGCCCGCTGCGCATCTCTCTCGGCGCCATGGTGGGGGACATCCTCAAGTTCTGCGCCATCTTTGTGGTGATCTGGATAGCCTTCGCAATCGGTCTGTACAGCAACTACTACTCTGCCGGGCAGGCGGCATCACGCCCGTGCTTTGCAGATGGTGGCAGTTGGGAAGACTGCGCATTCTTGACCGGCTTCTCAACGTGAGTAAATTGCGCACTGTCTTACAAGTTTTTAATGGGTATCGCCCTCACAGAAGCAGGAGATACACACTAGACAAACCAGGAAAGAACCCCGAAATCGAACTAACAAAAGATATCGTTAAAATTTCGCTTGACCCAAATTACAGGGCATTGGTATAGAAGGGAAAAGGTTTTTGGTTAAAGGAGTTCCAGAGAGAGAGGCAAGAGGAGAGAGGCGAAACAAAACTTGACGAATGCCTAGCCTCCGGAAATGTAACAGTAAATGGATTTGACTAGAGAAATATAGTGAGTAGAATGCTCAATTTGAGCTTACTAACTCCAGATCTCTTAAATGTATGTAGCACAGGCTTTGCTGCCAAACTGTTGTCATGTCTATCACAAGTAAATCACAAGTCGTATCTAGCTTAAACGAAAGTGATTGATAACCCATTCAAAGAAATGTGACAAGGGCATTCTTTGTGACTGCATGCTCGTCCAGGCGCGGATCCAGGGGGTGGAGGGGATTTTGGGGGTCAACCCCCCCCAGCTCTGTCCCCCCCCAAAAAAAAAAAATTATCATAAAAAAATAAGTCGAACCCCCCCCCCCCCGTGTGACAACCCCAAAAGATTTATACTGGTATAATGTCCGCCTGTTCAAAATACGGTACACCATTCTGTAATCTAGTGTTAAAAATCGTCCAATTTGAACCGCGCCCCCCATTGAAATATGGTACCAGGTCCCCCCCCCCCCTCCTGTCAAGTTCGGTCTGTCATGTGATGGAACTTGTGTTTCGACTTGCGTGGACTTGGCCGCCATTTTCTGCAACATTACTGTCATATCATGCACTGCGTACGGTACATAACTTTTCAGTGCTATTTACAAAACAAGTTTATTAATTCATTGATAGACATTGGTATATGTTTGACCTTCCAATTCGCAGACCTTTGGATACTATTGCGAGCCTGTACTGGTCTTTATTCGGGATGATAGATCTCGACGTTCTTGAGCTGACTGCCCACTACTCCGTGGCCGAGTTTGTCGGCACGTTCCTGTTCCTCGCCTACCACATCGTTGCCGTGTTGGTCCTTCTGAACGCCCTCATCGGTATGCTGTCCAACACGTACAACTTAACAGAGGTAAAGTGGGACGTAAAATCACCTGTGCCTATTAATGTCGTCAGCCGTTATGAGAAACGGTGGCGCTCTTTGATTTGGGTAAACTCCCATGTGTTTGTATTAAACGTTTCCCCCAATTTGTAATTAACCAAAACAGGGCCCTCTCTGTGTTTCGCCGTATCTCGAAAATTATATAATGGCTTTGCTAACAACGAAATTTCATCTCCATAAAGCACTGTAAAGCTGTTAGCATGCTAGCCTGTGACATACTTCAACCCTAGGAATGAAATTTTATGCAGGGGGGGGGGGAGTTGGATTGTTACGTTTAAGCAGAGACATGAGATTAGGGCCTCAGAACCTGCCACAGTTGTCTGTAAGAGAGTTGAAATCCGAGTTGACTTTCAAATTAGACAAGATCTTGACTGGTGAATGTACCTCCCATTGCAATCGGATGTCTATATTTCTTATCTGACCACTTACAGGAGCACGCTGACACGGAGTGGAAGTTTCACCGTGCCGCTGCCTGGACCTCCTTCCTGCGCCCCGTGGGAACACTCCCGCCTCCCTTCAACCTGATCCCGTCCGTTAAGAGTTTGTTCGGCTTCTGCAGATACATTGTAGGAATTTGGCTCAAATGCGCACGACGAAAACAAGTCAACCGGGTAAGGGTTTCTTCTTTTAACTCCTATGCAAACATACATTCTGTGCTAAGTTGTCCCTTCAGTCAAAATCAATCAAGTGACTGTTTTCAACAGTTCAGAGCTCCCAGCCTACATGTTTATGTAACTTGATACGACTGTGCTTTGACTGTAGGCAATTGATGAGACTACTATGGCTACCAGTTGCCTGCTTTTGTCTGTTAGCTGAATTTGACTAGTCAGAGTGCTTGCTTGAAATAGGATGACTGTTGGTGACTAATAGTCTGATAAGCCTGCATGGGCGTCGCCAGGATTTTTTCTAGAGGGGGGCAAAACATATTTTTGCCAAAAATGCCTGTATTTCTCAACACTTTTTCGATTTATCAGTTTTAGAGGGGGGCAGGGACATTTTGCCCCCCCCCTCCCCCACCATTACATTTACACCACTATGACTTCGCGCCTCTTTTTCTTTTCTTTTTTCTCTTTTTTTTTGGGGGGGGGGGTGATTTTCCGGGGGGGAGTGCCCCCCCCCCTTTGCCCCCCCCCCCCTCCTCGCGACGCCCATGCTAGCATGTGTAACAGGCATGACAGGGGAAGCGGATGGACTACCTGTGACTGTTCAACAGTAGGAGGGTTAACCATTTTATCTAACGTGGAAAATGAACAGAACTGCCGGCTGTTAAGACACTTGCACAGTCTTAGTAAACTTCCGCCCATGTCACTTTGCAGAACGTTACAAAATGAAATTGCATCTTTCTTTCTTTTTCAGAAAGACAAATACTCCAAAGAAGAGCTTGCTGGGTACACGGTAAATAGAAACGTCATTTGTACTTTTTTTACATCTCTGGAAAATATTGAATTAAAATATATTGGCGATGAGTCGCAGGTACTACCAATTTTCAAGATTTTAATTTCCGTACAGTCTTAGTGTTAGGCTAACAATTAGACAGCACTTTAATATCACAATAGACCTTGTTCACGAGGAAAATAGATCGCGTTCCCTGAATCTGTTTCAGGAGTTGTAAACTTATGAATGGGATGTTGCGAGACTATTTTATGATTGGAGTGGGTCCAAGCCTCGCTTCCAATTTTTAAAAAAGGTGCAAAAACATCAGGTATGTTTAATTGCAAATTTTCAATTATCAATCAGAGCAGACGGATATTACTCTATAATGAACTATAATTCGTTGATTTTATGTCAACTCGCAAGTTCCAAAAATGAAGAGTTTACTTCGCTTTCAATCTAATATGACCGATTATTGAAATATACTGTGGTGCCAGGGATAAGGGATAAAGACAAAAGAAGGTTTATCAATGTGTGGTTTATATATGGTTTCCTTTCTCGCCCACGTGTAGCGGGCCTTGAAACTGACACGTGACCGCTACGTTCAGGATCACTTGTCATCGACCTCCACGAACTCCGAAGCAGCACGAACACGTGATGTACAATCACTGAGGAATGACGTCACTTCATTCAGGTAACCTGGCAACTTTACACCACGTGATAGACTTATTATTAAACTATAGTGAACCATCATTGATGCCTTTTATACTCTATAAAATAAACGAGTTACAAGTACCTCCACGCGTTTGTTTCACTTTCGTACAACTTTTTAAACAGCTATACCAATGTTAATTACCCTACGAAATTTGAAAGAATTTGTGCTCTCCTTTTTTGGTAAAACTACTGTGTAGTCTTTTGCAAAAAAAGTGTCAAAGTGTTTCAGATAGACCAGTTGACGCCTGATTTCCTCCACCGTTCAGATTCTTTGCCCAAGACCGCTTGGAGGCTCTCAACAAAAATCTCATCCTGTCCAACGAAAAGTCATCCGAGTTGCGCCGAAAGCTGGATGACTTGGACCCGCTGAAAGGCTTGAGTATCGACGTAGTCGGGGAGGCTACCCAACTGACCGAGAACATCGACGAGCTGTCCCGAGAGGCAGACGGGTTGAGAGAGGAACAGACGACGGAGATTACTGACAGGGACCAGGAGGCTGAAGACCTACGGGACAAGATCGCCGCTCTCCAAGCCAAGATACAACAGCTCATGGCCAGTCACTCCACTGAATTGGCCAAGAGGGACGGCCATGAGGCGCATCTCAGTGATCTCATCAGCGGACTGGAGAGGGATAAATCCAGCCAGAAGGACGAGCTGGAACGCCTTCGACTAGACAAAGCTGAGCTAATCAACAATGTGGGGAGGTTGCTGGAAGAGATGGGCAAACTGCAACTCCAGGTGGCCAAACTCAAACAACAGATACCTGCACCGACCGTAGAGGTTCCTGATGAACCGGAGCAGGAACGCCTTGGTTTCTTCCGACGGATCGCTAACGTGGTCGAGAAGAAAATTACTGACCTCGGCGAGGGGTTGACAGCGGTTTGTTTATAATCCAGAAGCTTAGTCATTCTATTTAACATTACTACACTGATTTTGATCATCAAATGAGCTGTCTTTGAGACCTTAACAGTGATCAAAGAAAAAAATGTGTATGCTAAAATAATTATCTATTAGTGCGAGCATAAGTTCACAAATAATAACATTCACAGAAGCTTTCTTGTGACTGTATAGGCTAGCCTTATTTGAGGATGTTTGGTCACACTCTAGTAACTTAATAAAAACGTTCCCTTGATACTCTAAAATACACTTACATGTATATCAATTTTATAAAATATTCTCCGTCTAGATTTTCCCGTCTATTTCATTCTCGTGCTTTTGTGATAAGAAGTAATATTTGTTCCAATTCAATTATTTCCAGGGTGGAAAATATGAAGACAACTTGACAGGGGAAAGTGAGCAATCACAGACAGGAAGAGAAAAACAAGATCCTAGCCCTCTAGAACGAGAGAAAGAAAAAGAGTTACGGGCAGAACCAGAAGCAGACGTTGAAGCGGCGAGAGTTCCAGAGACGTCAAAGAAAGAAATCGAGGTACAAAAGGAATCAAGCGAGCAACAAATGGCAAGTCCAGCTCAGCAGGTAGATTCTAGATCCGATCAAATGCCTCTCGAACCAAAGGATGTCAAGAGTCCACGTCAACAGCGTGAAATGATTGAGGATCCAGCCCTAGATACAAAGGAACAAGTAGAAAAAGAAGAACCAGAACCCGAGAGAGAACAAGAGCAAAGATCAAGCGCTGAGACAGAGCCTACCACTTCAGTCGAAGCACCTGCCTTCCTACCCGATCCAGAAACCGAGTCCGCACGTGCCGAGGCACCCAAAGAAGAGCCAGATTCGGTGGCAGATTTAGAAGTGACTGATTATTTCAAAGGAATCGAGGCAGAGTTACAAAGTGAACCGGAGCAAAGTCTAGAGAAAACTACATATGAGGAAGCAGGGCAAAGCCTGGAAGCCGAGGAAACGCCTTTAGAGGCAGACACCCTGCCCGAACAAGCTAAGATACAGAGACACCGGGCTGAAGCAGTTCAAGATCTAGATGTTGATGTCGAAGTTGAAAACGCAGCACCACAGTCCGAGCAAAGGAAGTATGTTACCACGGATGATCTAAGATCATCACCCTTTGAAGACATAGATTTGCCACCGTCCCCAGACACCTCACCCGTCCCAGTACAGGAACCGAAACAGTCAGAAGAATCATTTCAAGATCAAATGGTACAGGTAGAGCTTGCATCACCAGACAAAGAGAGTGAACCTAAACAAGAGCAAGATTTTCAAACGACAGATGCAGTTCGAGACGCCCCGGCCAAGCAAGTAGAGGAACAAAAACAGCAGCCTCAATTAATTCAAGAACCAGAGTTGGATACAAGTCTCAAGACACCCGAGAAAGAGAGTAATTTAGAGCAGGCTCCTGACATATCGACAAGTGAAGCTGGGTCTTCCTTCGTGGAAATAGATCTGCCATCAACTCCAGCATCAAAGCCAGCAGAAGAGGCAGGTGATATTGGAGAAACCAAGAAAACGGAAGATACACAACATGAAGAGGATCTCGAGACGAAATCGGAAGAGCAAGATACTGAAGAAGAACCGGTGATTTGGCAGTTGTAATTCCTCGACCCTAAGTAAACCCACGCTTTCGACTTTGGCAAACGGGATGATCGAATCACTCTCCTATAAAATACACAAAAAAATATCTCATTGCGGACAATACCTCGGCAATTGTTGGCTGTGCCAAAATCCATAGACGTATTTGTATACTGTCTTTGAATGAAGTGATTTATTTTGGTGTGAAAGTTTTAAAATTGTTTATACCACAGTGGGGTCTGTGTCCTTTATAACTGTTTCGATATGATACTTGTTATACCGCTTTCTGCTATAATTAACAAATAGTTTATCCTCAGATAAAACAAACAAATTGAGATTACATATTATGCCAGTATTGTCAGCCGATATGTGTTTTCGACTCCTCACAATGTACATGTATTATGTCTTATGTCGTCCTTTTTATTGTGCTTGAATTCACTAACAATACTTATACTAAACTAATTAATATACCATCAGTGTCTTTATGTTACCGAAACATTAAGCTGATCTTATTTCTCCAAGTTTTTAAGGCCAAAAGCCGAGTACTAATTGGTCCTCCTTTTTTAAGTAATAATGCAAACAAAAATCGTTCTATAGCAGGATGATTAAAAAAAAAAGCGACCAGGATTAATGATTTGTTTCCTAAAAAGCAATCAAATTTGATGCACCAACGATGATGTCTCAAATCAGCATATTTTTTTTGGGCAATGTATATATCCCGGCAATAATGTGTTGAAAACCATGGACGTATTTGTACGCACTGTCTTTGAATGAAGTGATGTTGTGTGTGTGGTAAAGTTATAAAATTGTTGATACCCGAGTGGGGTCCGTGGCATACATAATTTAGTGGTCAGACTTGAGTGGGGTCCGTGAAATACATAATTTAGTTGTCAGACTTGTTATAAATGTACATTGTACCTCTCTGCTATAATTAACGAACGGATTATCCTCAGATAAAACGATGATCACATGTACCTGTATTATCGGCAAATGTTTTTTCGACTTATTTACAATGTGTTGTTATATTTCCTATTTATAATTATGGAAGAAATCGTACTCGTCTATAATCCACGCTTAGGCCCCCTTTCGTATGGTAACTAAGTTAATTCATTAATGAGTAATACATGCGACTTAATAAGACCGAAGTCTTATATAGCGCACGTCTCTACCAACAATTAGGTATCAAGGCGCTGGAAATTATGTCTATGAGAGACAGGTAAATGAAGTACATGAGAAATATGAGAACCATTATGTAGCACCTTTATACATGTAATGGTTTATACAAGATGCTGTGGCGCATTAGGCCCCCCCAAAAAGTCTCCGGTTTCTGGTATGGAGCTTGCCCAAAAAGTGGTGCGGCGACGCGGCTTTTTTTTTTTTTTACCTGACTTTTTTGCTTCAAATGTCGGCTGATGACTGCAAATGGTGCCCGACTAAACTTAGTGCAAATATATCGGAGTCCAGAGAGGCCACATAAAGCTTATTCTCGACCATGACCCAATCTAAAAACACGTTAAAATTGTGCAGCAGCAGGATTCCAGTCAAACCAGTGAGTTTGGCGGTTTTGAGACATCATCTTTCATTGAAAAAAAAACTTTTTCATTTTGCCGACGCGCATGGCTACGGCGACGCGCGCGCATACCAGAAACCGGAGACTATTTTTTGGCCTTAAGCAGGCACTGCCAGAAACACCGGGTTCTTTTACGTGCAATGCATGGTATTTTGTAAGCAATATCTTTTAAAAAGTGTATTATTAATTAATATTGATTTATATTGATGTAATATCAGTATAAACATGTACATGTACAGTACATGGATACAGGTATGGCGCTCCCAAGAAAAAAAATATGTTAACGTCACACTTCCTTTTTTTTCATCGTGCTTTTGTGTTGGTAGTTTCCTATTTTTCGCGTTCTATAGACACACTGTCAACACTTTGCCCATACAAAAAATACCGAAACATGAAAACTACAGCAATTACGTGCAGTTGTCTTCCTCCCAAAAATAATTATCTTCTTCATGCTTAGGAGTAATGTACATGAACAGTCGATCACCTTATAACAATGTCTTGGGACTTCAAATGTCCCTTGTTATAAGCAGGATGCTGTATTAATAATGCTCTTCTTATTGGTTTCGGTGTCTTTTTGTTATCGAAACTGTTATTTTCATGGACATGGTACGAGCCACCTACATTGTATAATTTTTTTTAGAATTCGGTCACTTCTTTTTGTCTCGCACTGTATACATTTTTGCGTTTTTGTACAAGCTTCCCCAGAGCTAGGGAATTATCACTGTGAAAGTGGCCCCGTATGTGTGGGTATTCCGAGTGGGGTAGGAAGGACACGTACATTTACTTGAAACCGAGTGTCGCCCAGAAATGTGGATTCAATGGTCACAATAAAACATTAGTTTCATGTAAATTGGACTCCATGATATCTGTGCCCACGGCTTTAAATTCCTTATTGACACGCTCACCAAGTCATGCCCTTGTTTCCCTCCAGTTGTCACGAAGATTTTGTACTCGGAAGCCAGTACATGTATACTTAAACGTAAAAGACTGTGAAAAGCTCATACATGTACATGTAGATGTTCAGCGGGCCACGAGCTGTATTTTCAGTTTAACATTAGTAAGTCCCAACTTTGGTGTAAACACGCAGTGAAACTGTCATGGAGCCGTAGGAGATAATTCAGTTGTAAAGGCTGCTAGCTGAAAGGTAGCTAGAAAAGCCCCTGTGCTGACGAAGAAAATAAATATGAACCCATGTACATGTACATATTGGCATGCCTTCCAAATATTCATGGTTGTAACTGGGTGTCAGTCGTCCGCCATTTTTGTGGCTGATGAGGTCAATGGTCTTCCTAAAACAATGTTGATAAATACGTTGTATCTTGTATGTGGAACTGGAATTTCTGGAAACAATTACAAAACCCATGTAGAAGGCTAATCATAAGTCGTATCCGAATTACTTTACTATTAGGCTGGATATTAAACACGCGCCTATGGACACGGCTGCAACCACTTCCATAGACCAGTGCGTTTTATAACACCTCACCCACATATTCTGTGTCTTGATTGGCCGAGAGCGAGTCACATGTTACTTTCTAATTTTGCTATCTTTCTGTGCACGGCCAAAAGTACTATGCGCATAGCAACCAAAGTACTATACCATTAACAACCAAAGTACTATTTCCACGGCGCGGTATTTGTGTGCAAATGCATGCTGGTGTGCGCGTTGCGCGTTGTGCGTAGCGCGTATTATTCCAAAGAGAGCGCGCCACAGACTTGGGTTCAAACATTTCGTGAAGGGGTAGTTTTTAAGAGAGAAATACATTTTCCAACAATTTTGTATTGAAATTGAAGTTTATTTCAACTGTGTTCAGATTTAAATAATTTAAAATATTAAAATCAAGCAGAATCTGTGGGTGAAGTGTTATAAAACAAATATTGAATGCTTTATCTCGTGGTGAAGTAAAACTAGCTTCCCTCGGTGATCCATGGATCATTCTATTTTCCCTCGGCTTCGCCTCGGGAAAATAGAATGGTCCATGGATCACCTCGGGAGGCTAGTTTTACTACACCACTCGAAGCATTCAATATTTGTATAATGTCCAACCATAGCCATGTAATTCCCACGCGCCGTGTCTGTGTCTTAAAGCGAACTGCAGTGCACTCTAATAGCCTTTGTCATCAGGCTCTCCGTCACAAATAAAGTAAATCGTAATGCATATACAGCGCTTTCCATCGTACAACAATCCCAAAGCGCTTTTTAATTATTCCCCCTCTATCAGGCTGGCCACGAGACATTATGATGGCCACTGACTTCGTTTAGTATCGTTTGTGCTCCAGTCCTCGTTTTGAAGTAGGCACCAAAGTCTTAGAATTAGGCGCCCACACATTGAAGAGATTCGAGAAAAGATTCGAGGAGCCACACAAGTTGGTGTTGTGCAAATCTCTTTATCATGCAAGTAGAGTTCCTTGAGACCCGTACTGCCTTTTTGTGTGCTCCGAATCCATTTGCTTTCATAGAAGCATCCAGGCGTAGCTAGCTAGCTACGGGCGGCAGCAACAAATGAGGCAACATAACAGCATACGCAATCTCCCGAGGTACGGTACGTGTTGCGATACCATATATATAACAGAATTGAAAGACAAGTACATGTACTTTCATTTTGGATGAATTTGATCGTTTTCTTTCGCGCGTTTTGCGGAAGTGGCTGTTACTGAGGGTAACGGATTACTAATGAGTTTATTTCTCAGTCTAACTGGGATTTCTGAGTCGACTCAAGACTGTGGATCGGTAAGAAAATTCTGGAAAGATGGATAACGAAGCATATGAGATGGAGGAGACTGAGGAGATGGAAAAGGGACGAGTGAAGAGGAATGGGAGCGCGTTGTGTGGTAAAACCAACGGGGAACCAGGGGGTTTGGCCCCAGCGGTTGGCGAGGCTCGTATGGCTGAGGAGATGGCTCGTTATGAGGAGATTAAGAGAATAGCGGGGAAGGGTAATGGGCGGAGACTGGATACTTTGCTGGGGGAGTGGCGGGAACAAGGATGGTTGCGGGACTGGAGGAACGAGGAGAACCTGACGCTGTATGCCGACGTCATTACGGACTCTTTTCTTGGTAAGTTAATAACTGTTACACAAGACTGATACGAGCTGATTGGGTCGTCTATGCGCATGTTCGGTGTAGGAGGTAATTAAGTGAGTGTGTTAGACAACCTGACCGTTTGCCAACCCGGTTTGAACCAACTCGACTGTTGAGTCGACCTCCATGCTTCGAGTCGGAAAGTAAAATGTCTATTTGGGCACTTTGTGGAGAAGAGCGCAATTTCATGAAACCTGAGCCGTACAACTCAGCAGATTCATTTTAATTGAAGCAAAATAAGCCCCTGTCAGAAACAATATTTTGGTAAGATTATATTACTCTTTGTTGGCTAGCAGTTTTTACTTTGTCAAGCCAGCCAATCTCTGTATCCACAAAAAGTAGCACCAAATTATGATGAATAAGACTTTTGTATTTATGTTCCTGCGATAGAATGTAAACAAATACATATCACAAAAATATATGGGATTTTGTGCGCAATGTGCCTTCATTTGTGGCCCTATTTTGAAAGGTTATTATGCGTAGTCATTTAAATAAAGGATATTTAAGTAGGTTGATTTGTCAAGAGGATTTGTTTTTGTTTTTGTTGCTTTCAGTTAAAAATTAACCTAGAAACTAAAGAGTGCTGTTCATCTTTTGCGAAATAATCGACATAATTCAATTCTTGTTGAATGCGCACTTTGCCATTGTCTTAGATTTTATGGGAAAGTGCGGCCATCTTCAGAATCGCGTTGTTAAAGAAAATCTGAAGGGCCAATCGCTTTGGCACATATGCGTAGGCGGATTAGTGGTGTACATGCATAGGCCTAACGTGCTCCTTGCAATAGTAGTGTTCATCATCAAAAGGGTGTTTCTTCCTGAGTAGTTTTTTTATCCGGCATTCTTACTACAACTTGATGAATGAAATAATGCTGCCTTAGCTGGAGCCTTTAGATTTATTGTAAACTCCAGAACTGGCTTTCAACATAAGGCCAAAAAAGTCTCCGGTTTCTGGTATGCGCGCGCGTCGCGGTAGCCATGCGCGTCGGCAAAATGAAAAAGTTTTTTTTCAATGAAAGATGATGTCTCAAAACCGCCAAACTCACTGGTTTGAATGGAATCCTGCTGCTGCACAATTTTAACGTGTTTTTAGATGGGGTTATGATCGAGAATAAGCTTTATGTGGCCTCTCCGGACTCCCATATATTTGCACTAGGTTTAGTCGGGCACCATTTGCAGTCATCAGCCGACATTTGAAGCCCAAAAAACAGGTAAAAAAAAAAAAGCCGCGTCGCCGCACCACTTTTTGGGCAAGCTCCATACCAGAAACCGGAGACTTTTTTTGGCCTTAGCTGGAGCCTTTAGATTTATTGTAAACTCAAGAACTGGCTTTCA